AGTCCACCAGTAAACAATGTCCCTAAGTGCCACCTCTATATATCTTTTAAATACCTTCAGGTGTGGTGACTCCACCACTTCTGTGGGCAGCCTGTTCCAGTGCTTGACAACCTCTTCCATGAAGAAATATTTTCTGATATTCAATCTAAACCCTTGCTGGTGCAATTTGAGGCCATTTTGCCTTATCCTATTGCTTGTTACTCATGAGAAGAGACTGATCCTCATCTGTCTACAATCTCTTTTCAGATAGTTGTAGACAGTGATAAGGTCTCCCTAAGCCTTCCTTTCTCCAGGTCTAATATCCCAGCTCCCTCAGCTAATCCTGGTCAGATCTATGCTTTAGAGCTTTCTCTAGCTTCATTGCTCTTCTTTGGACATCCATACAGACCATGTCACACTTTTTTACACTGTTTCAGCAAGTACATTTTGGCTGAACCCAATAACATCTGTGGGTTCTGCCTAGCCAAAGTTCATGTCACCCCAGTCACAAAGGTGAAACATACTTAGCACACTGCTGATAAGGGTTTATTGCTTATACCCTCCCCCCCTTCCCCGCAGGAAAAAGACACTTAAGACACTTCGTAACTGTGTGCTATCTATTCACACAAGTGCTGCAATCACTGTATATGTTAAGTCTTAAACTGTCATTGATTTCAAAAAGTTTTCTGACAGTGCTGATTGCTGAAGAGTGAGTTTATATACAGTATAAAACTAGATTAATAAAACTTTGATTCTCATTCTAACCTACCATATTTGGGTGTTTTTTAAAGTAGTTAAGAGACAGAAGACCCTGCTCTCTTGTCTTTTATGCTAGATTTGCATAAGACAATGTAAATTATTTATGAAAATGTAAAGAATATATCCAGAAATGGAAATAAAAGAGAAAGACTTTTTACTGATAAAATGAACTGAGAGGAAGACTTTGCTGCCAATTAAATTTTGTAGTTTTGCAATAGAAATTTTTATTTCTGAAATACAGACTACCATGGTCAATTGAAAGATTTCCAGTAATTTCAGTAGAATCATAGAATAGAATAATGGTATCACTTAGGTTGGAAAGGATCTTTAAGATAGAGTCCAACCATAAAGCTAACCCTGCCAAGTCCACCAAGTAGCTGCAAAGCAAACTTTCTGTAAGATGCCTCATTATATCAATACCTGTCGCTCCTGTGCTCCTTCACAGAAAGGTCTCGGTCAGATATGACAGGCAATAAATTTAGAATGGGGTGAAGTAAGAATAAAGAAAGATTTACTTTCCTTGTTTGTCATTCAAGACTATATTTTAAAGTGCTTAAAAAAAGCACTTGTCAGGTGTAATAGATCTTTAGGAATCTCAATGCAGATAAACTATAAGAATATCTGCAGGACAACATTGCTGTGAGATAGAAGCTATGTATTTAAAATACTGTGACTATGTAAGAAAATGGTTTATTCATCAAATGTAAAGAAATTGCTTGTTTAGGAGGTTTTAATGGCTTTTTAACATTTCATGATGAAACTACATTTGTACTTTTTTTCCCCTGCATTATGGGAGGATGAAGACATATCAAGAAACTTCATTCTGCTAGTTCTATGTTTTAAGTCAATCATACTTTTTTGTTGAAACAAAGTAAGTGGGAACTCATTTCAGCCCAATTATTCATATCCATACATGGTTTTAGGATGAGATCACCATTTCTAAACATTCTGCATCTTTATTAAATACCTGTCATATTAATGAATTTTTAAGCTATAAATAATTAGGTGAAGCAAAAGGGTGAACAATTAGTAAACAACATATTTCTCATGGAATAAGTCCTGCTTTCTTTTCTTCCCCATGCTTCAGGGTGGCGTTGGCTTCCTAAGTTTCAGCTTCAAAAACGGCAAAAATTCAAGACCTGACTTCTATTCTCACTTCATTTTGCAGGAACACTGTTACTTGAGTCCACCTTTTCTCAAAACTGGGCTCCAGTTCAAGTTTCTTGTAAATCCTGTAAAGCTTGTAGGCTGATCTTGAGTTGTAGATCACAGATCTTCCCATGAATGCCACACCTTGCTGAGCTCCATTTTTCAGCCCTGGCTTCTCCTTCGCACCTCAACCAGCTTGTTTGGACCTCTGTATTTCTTCTCCATTCTGAAGCCACATGTAGACAACTTCTCTCTTTCTTCCCTGATTTTCAGTGAGCTCCACAGGCATTCACTTACAGCATTCACTGTAGGATTAGTTTGCAGAGGGTCTTGTTATACAGTTTTAAATAGCACAGTAGAATGGAAACTTTGAATATTGCTCTATTAAAACATCGAAGTATTTTCTCTAGCATCTTTTTCACTTTCCAGCTATTGTTCAGTGTATTAGTACTGAGGAAACAGTCACAATCCAGGCCTTACAGCACTAGGTACCCACCCATGCATTGCACAGTTCCATTGCTAGCCATGTGTTATTGCTGTTGGAATCATTAGCAGCTGTAATTGCTGCCCTAAGAAGCTCTATAAGCATCAGAAGAGTAGGTTTACAGAAAATTATACTAATGGTGAAAGAAACGTTCCTGTGTAACCCCCTACTTCTCTATTTATTGTTTTGCATTATCATTCTCTGATCTGGTCTCCTGTATGTTATATTGAAATGGTACATCTGAGTAAGGGTGGTCTAGCTTATTCTCACCTCCTGAAACAATTTTCCATGTGTGTTTGCATAGTCATTTGCACCCCCTCTTGCCCAGACCAACATGTGTTGGTTGCCCACTCTGGTGGGTTCTCTATCAGGAGAGTACCTGTTTCCCAGGTCAGTGTCCCTGGATTGCTGAACAGGCCTCTGGGGGCAACACAGCTGAGAACTGAACATGAACACTTTCTACTGAGAAGAGATGAAACGGGCATATGCTTGATCCTTCAAACAGGTAAGGAGCCAGGTGGGGCATTCCCTTTTATTCTGGAGAGGTGTTGGCAGAGTGTTAGTCCTTCACTGTGTTGCCTACTGTGAGACTGTAGGTGTTTTGGGCCACAACTAAGTGAAGGTCCTTGAGGGGAAGCTGTGTGAGGAGCAGCTGAGGTCACTTGGTCTGTTCAGACTAGAGAAGAGGAGACTGAAGGGAGACCCCATTGCAATCACAACTTCCTAGAGAGGAAAAGAGGAAGGGCAGACACTGATCTCTTCTCTGTGGTGACCAGGGACAGGACTCAAGAGAATGGCCTGAAGTTGTGTCAGGTGAGGTTTAGGTTGGATATTAAAAAAAGGTTCTTCACCCAGAGGGTGGTTAGGTGCTGGAACAGGCTCCACAGGGAAGTGGTCACAGCACCAAAATCTGACAAGAGTTCAAGAAGCGTTTGAATGATACACTCAGCACATGGTGTGACACTTGGGGAGTGTCCTGTGCAGGGCCAGGAGTTGGACTCGACAATCCTTGTGGATCCCTTCCAAGTCAGGATATTCTGTGATTCTGTAACACTGATAATGCTACCCTTAGTGTGGGAGCCCAAGAATAAGGAGATGCCTTAAATTACACTCTAAGAAGTAAATTTGTCCTGGTCTTGTGTGACCTGAACTAGTTCACATTTCCTCCCTCTTTCCTCCGTGCATGTCTCCAAACCTTTAATCCACTCTCCAACATTTTCTTTCTACCCTGGATCTCATCATGGTACATCCTGTGTGAAGCAGAACTTTCATGTTACAGGCCCATGACTCTGCAGTTGCCTGTTGCATCCCTGTGGGGAAGCAGAGGTACTCAGGTGAGCAGCTACAGCTAAATATACAAAGTGGTGCCACTTTGGGTGGCAAAACTATAAAGCCTATGGAGACCTACAAAAGCTGAGCTAGAGATACTTTTCAGACTGTTTGAGTCTACAGGCTGCAGAATCATTTTAGAAAATGCTATTTCGGACTTGCATCCAAACCCTGAATCCTACGTACCTACAGGTAGGTGGATAGGTGAAGACAACTGGGAGTTCTTCCCACCAGCCGTCAAGTGCCAGCTCCAATCCAGAAACAATGTAGATGAGTGACTGCATGCTTTACAGATTGCAACTGAAATATCGTGCTGGCTTTGAGCCCGGGCAATGCGAACACTCAATTCTTCATTTGTGGATCTCAGCTTTGATCCTTTTGCCATCTTTAAAATGGAGACGAGCACTCCTCTGTTTTACAGAAATTGTTGTGAGTTAATACATTTGAGATGATGTGACTCTTAAAACAAAGGATGTAAAACCAATATGAATACTGGGTCTGCTCTGTCATTTTCACCTGTTGAATCAATTAAATACATTAAAATATAAATACAGCGCCAGAATTAAATATAAATATGTAAGCATATAAAAAGAAATAAAACAAAAAAAATCGAAAAAAAAATAAAATTGGTCACTGAACTTTTAACTGCTTTATCAAATAAGCTAAGAATTATTTCCCTGGATTACTTTCTCCATTTGTACTGAGAATGTATAGTTGCCACAGAGACTGCTGTACGTGAACATGGGTAAAACAGAGGACGGGAGAGGGAATGTGTCCTCCTGGATTTCCAGAGGGATCTGAGATGACTATCTGGGTTAGCGATGCGGCGGGGCGGGGGCGCAGCCCGAGAACTCCCGGCCATGCGCCCCGGCCGATCCCCGGAGGCTCCGGGGAGCCGGCGGCGATGGGACGGGACCCCGCCGAGGGCGGGGGCGGCGGGGCCAGACCCGCGGGGCCGAGCGGCGCTGCTCCCGCTGGCATTTATAGATACATCTATAAAACATCTATTTAAAGCAAAGCCCAGACTGGTGGCACACGGTCTGTGTGCGGCTGCTGCTGCTGCCGAGCCTGGCAGGAGGGGGCTGGAATTAAAATAAGGCACGAAACGGTTTTAAAAATAGCGTGCGGGCTGCGCGGGGCGGGGCGGCGGCTCCGCGGCCCCAGGGCCGCCCGGCCCGGGGAGTTCCTCGGCGCCTTGTATGGAGCGCGGCCGCCACAGGGCCCGCGCCCGCCCCCGCTCCCCGCCCCGACTTTCCCCGCTGCCGGCAGGGAAGGCAGGAGCCGGCAGCAAGCTGCCGGTCTCCCAACTCTCTCCCCTTCTTCCCTCCTCTCCTTTCAGGAGCCACCACCCCGCCTGCCTCTCTCCACCTCCTCCTCTTTCTGCTCTGCAATCAGGGGAATAAATCAGGGACGGACGCTCACACACACACGCGGAGTAGGATCTGTTACAAAAGTAGCGCTGATGGCGGCGGATCAGACGAAGCTGGAGCTGCTGCTGGAGTAGCAAAGAGTGGAGTATCTTTCGCTCTCTCCCTTTTCTCTATTTCGTCTCTTTCCCCACTCCACCCACAGATCTCCATCGTTTCTCCTCCTCCTCCCCACCCTCGGCCGCGCTCTCGCTTCTCCGCGCATCTCTGGGCTGCGCCTCCTGCGAGGGGGCGGGTGGGGGGGGGAGCGGAGGAGGCTTTAAAGAACCACGGCCCCCCCGCACCGCCACACACGCGATAATTGAATTTATTATTATTGCCGTCTCGCCGACTTGGGAAAGGGGGATCGATCTTCGATCAGGAAGATGGCTGCTGGCTGGCTGCTGGTCTTTAGCCTGACACTTTTCCAGTCCCTGGTGATGAACCACTCCTCGGAGGGACCGTTCCCCTCAGCCACCACGTAAGTCCCGCCGGGGTCCAGGGGTCCGGGGCGGGGGCGCGGCTGGGGCGGGGGCGCTCCTCGGCGCCGGGGACAGCGACAGTACAAAGGGAAATCAAGTTAGTCCGGGGGAAAGTGGTGGTGGGGGAAAATTGCAGGATTTCTACAGCTTTTGCTTAGGAAAGAGTCAGGCTAGCGGAGGGTCCCGCCGGGGCTGTCACCGCCAGGGAAGAAGCCCCGGTGACGGCCGGCGGCGGGACTTTTGAGGTAAAGGCTTCGCCTGGAAAGCCCGCTCCGGAGCGGCTCCCGGCTCCAAATATACCCCGTCAGGTCATCCTTGCCGAGAAGAAAGTTTCGAGTTACAAAGAGTCCGCCCCTTCCTCCCACAGAGGTTATTCCAGCCTGGATGGAGATTTAACACTGTTTACAAAAAAAACCAAAAAACCAAACCAAACAAAAAACCAAACAAAACCCAAAACCAAAACCAAACAAAAAACCCACAACAAAACCACCAGGAAACTTTCGCAATTTTATTAAAATCCACGCAGAAAGGCGGATTTTGTTGCCGTTCCGCGTCCGGCACGTGAGGAGGGCAGGCGGGCAGGGCTGGGAGTTCCGAGCCCGAGCTCCGGCTCCCTCCTGGCTTGGCTGCGCTCCAGTGCATCCACAGGGGCTCCCGGTGCTGCGGGGTCCGGGGGTGCACACGCGTGGGTCCCGCCGAAGGATCTTGTTTTGCTCGCTGAAAGCCACACAACTGAAGAACTGATCTCTTCAGGCTTGGCCTTGCAGATCGTTGTTTCTCAAAAATACCTTCGCGAGAGCTGAGGGATGCTCTCGGTGCACGCAGCTCGGTGCCTCGCCTGGCCCTGAGATGGAAATCTTTGAAGTGCTGCAGAGTTATTAGCATGAAAATGTTGCCCAGAGCAGTGCAAAGATCACATAATAATGATGCAATAAAAGAAAGGCAAAAAGAAACCGATACATCATATTGGAGATTCGCCAGCATATCGGGAAAAAAATCCATGACAAAGCACTGTGTTCGTGTTTTCTTCCTTTTTCTTCTCTCTCGCCTCATTATTTTTATATTCTTTTTGTTTGGTTGTTTTGTGGTTGTTTTTTTTTTAAGCACTTACCTTAGTCCCCGAATCTAGGTTAAAGCTACCAGTAGGTAACTTTTAAGTGGATGACTCACTTTAATGCATTTTACATAAGAAAAACAGTGCTAATGGTAGTCTTCACTTATTGTTTAACGCTGGGTAGAATTTATGACTGTCGTTCATCCTGGGCAGAAGGATGAGTTTACAACAATTATGAGCAATGCATTTTCACCAATTAGTACTGTTGGTAGGCTGTTATAATTGGATTCAGTTCTCAGTATCGGTTCCATTATGAAAGACTCAAAGGGATGCTAGCACGAAAGAAAGGAATACAAAGATAAGTGTAGAATACCCACTTAATATCTTATAAGCTGAATAAATACGGTCTTTTATTGTAGGGAAAATTATCTTTTAAAATATTTTCTTACTGTTCTTTTAAAATCTTCCAGTTTATAAAGATGTGCCATGTAAAAGCAAGAGTAGCTAAATACAAAGCCTGGGCTTTTTAAGTCATTGCTTTTCTTGTGTTTGAGCTCCTCTATTTATGGTTTCTTATTGAGATGATAAGGTTATCATGCACAACTAATTACAAAATATCTTCTACATAGATTTTGCTGGGTTAAAATGAGAAGGAAATATATAACCCAGTATATAAAAAGATTATGTATAATTTTAAATAAAAGTCTGGATAGCTTTTTAGGGTAAGATTATGTGATATTTCCATAAAAATTATTTTGTCCTCTGTCCGTTTTTGCGAATTCCCTTCAGAATTTACCTTTACTTCCAGCAATGATAATAGAAATTGTCAGCAATGAAACATATAACTTTAATTATAACTATGATAAAGTAATTCATAGTATGATGTTAGTCATCAATGTTTTCATACTCTACACAATCTACTTGCTGTTGGCTCTCTTTTTTTCTCATTATTATTCCATTGAAACGTTGTAAAAATAATCTATAGTGCCTGTCCAAACTTCATAGTTATGTTTCCCCTTTGAAATGGAATCAAAGTGCAAGCAAGACTTAGTTCATTTACAAGGAAGCACAACAGGTTGATGCAGAGAGGGCTGCTTTGCAAAAAGTAATGATGTAACAGGTGAAAGAGAAAACAATTTTTTAATTCTTTTTTAAGCCTTGACAGCAGAGTTTCATTTCCTACTATGGATTACAAATGGGAAAGAACAAAGAGAAGTGACGCAAATGCTTTTAATGTGAAAGATATTATATATTAAGAATACTAAAAATATGAAAAAACATGGGAGAAGAGAATAAAGGAAAGAAAGGACATGAATAATTGAAGAACTGAAGGTTTGCTGATGATATGTACTTAGCTACCTGATTTCTCCCATTATTTTCAGTCCTTTTTTTCTCTTAGTTAAAAAGTAGCTCTGAGGAAGCAGAATTTCCCAGCTGTTGGGTCAAAAATGTGCATATTCAGGGCTGTATAGTTCATGATTTCTTTAACAACTGCTTTTGTACAATCACTTTTCTTTCAGTCATCTATTTCTTCTGCATCTATAAATATTTTAACATACGCTTTTACTAAAACATTTAGAAGTATCACTAATACAGTAATATACAAGCATGAAACATTTGTAGCAAAAAATCCCAAACGTTTAAGTAATGCCTGTAGAATCTCAGTAATTTCATTCATTTTACTTCTCTGATAAGGCAGGAACTCTCTGATATATTTACCTAGCAATATATAGAGAATTTCAGGTTTGTGCTGTATGAAATGGGAACCTTAATTTTTCATTGAAGATCTGAGCAGGTGGTATGATCACATTTGTTGTTTCTGCTGTTGGAATATTTCACTGCAAATATTGAAGACTTTAATGAACTATTTAAATATAGCAGTAATTATGTCTTGATCTTTAGCTATGAGGCTTAGCTAGCTGCTGAACGATGCATATTACGTATCATTAAATTGTATCATTTTCATTGTATTGTGTATTAGGTATCTATCATATGCTGGTACAAGATACCATGTTCTTACTTTTAACACAGCACCTCCAAGTCCTTCAATTATACATACAAGACAGCAGATATTTTGCACTTAGATGAGAATATTGTTGTCTGTAGTAATCCTGTCCCTTTAACCACACTACTGGTATCACAGTACATAAAGTACTTCTTTCTTTGTAGCCATATATATTTATTTATCATAGCATCTATCAAGGCTTCAGAAAAAAACTCACTATTTAAGTATATGTAGTTTGTATGTTTCCTGATAACGAGAACACAGGACTCAATTTATTTCTGTTCTTTTCTCTGTACTGCATCAAAACAGGTAGCCTTGATTTTAAATATATGTTGTAGTTCTTAAGTATCCTTTTGGCACAACATGTCTTAGCAGTGTTGATATTGTTACTGATAGTGAGTAATGTACTATATAAAGATACACCTACTGCTTTCTGATAATAAATCTGTAAATTAAAAAAACTAAACAGATATTTTAATTTTTATAAACTTACAGATGAAGCCTTTCAATATCAATGGGACTGTTTCTCTAACTACACAATTGTGGTTATGTCTGTTCTTTTTTTTTTCTCTAATTTTCCTCTGCCACTTCTTTTCTCTTTTCCCTTTTAGCATTTTTTCATCTTCAGTCACCTGTTCTGTATGTATATGTTAAATTATACATTATGCTCAAGACAGATTTGCCACTTAGATAAATCGGTGTAAAATATTATGTGGATAAAAATGATATACAGAAGATAAAAATAATATGCATATGAACATATATCTGTATGTATACAGGCAAGAAATTTTTAGAAAAGAAGTTGTATATTCCCATTTTTCATTTGCGTGAGTCATCCTTACTGTTTCGGTGTCATTAGGACAACTCAGGGAAGTCTGTATGAGTCATACAAATTAGGGCTTGCACAACCGAGACATTCATATTTTTGGTTTCTTCACACGGACCTAACAAGTGTAGGTCCTGCTGAGATTGTGACTGGGCTTGGAATGCAGCATTGCTTTTGATAGAGCATCGGTGACCAGAGATAGAGGGATGACATGATGTGTCCTTTTCATCTGTTTCTACTGTCAGACTTAGGGATTTTGACACATCTCATATACATATAATCTCATTTTTAGCATAAAGTCTGTGATAGAGGAATGTCACTTTTACTGCTGACGTTAATTAGAAAAGGCTGGTGCATTAATGGACTGTAAAATATCAGGCTCTTTCTCATTTGCAAATTGTTTTGTTTTTCCAATCTATTTAAAAATCTTCATTATTAGGAAAAAATAATCTACTGAAGTGTACCTTCATATGAGTGAATTGGAAAGAGAGCCAAAAGATGTAATCTCCTTAGAATCAGGGAAGTGCAATATCACCTCTTAGTGTTTTGTCAGCAACACACATCTGAATGCTGAGCATTATGCAAGATGTACAAACCCACTGGTATTTTAAAGAGTGTTGCTCCAATCCATTCTTCTAGTAGAAGCATACTTAGGTGTGA